AGTTGATTTGCTTTGTTTCTGTCTCTTCTGTGCTCTTTCTGTCTTCTAGTGGGCCTCGGTGTCAAAAATCTTAAGTTGATTAGCTTTGTTTCTGTCTCTTCTGTGCTCTTTCTATCTTCTTGCGGGCCTTGGTGTCAAAAAAACTCTCATCTTAAGTTGATTTGCTTTAAGTTGATTTGCTTTGTTTTTGTCTCGTCTGTGCTCTTTCTGTGTTCTTGTGGGCCTTGGTGACAAAAAAATATCATCTTAAGTTGATTTGCTTTGTTTCCGTCTCTTCTGTTACCTTTGCGCCTCCCATGCACCTCGTAGTGATGCAAGTGGTGCTGTGGAACGCCCCCGACTTTTTTAGCATTTTCTCTGTCATTTTTGTATCCGATGACCTTGTGGAAAGTCGGGGCCCAGTTTGTCAAAAAATTGTCAAAAAACAGTGCATTAATGATCCAAAAAAGTCTTATTTATTGCTGTGTTTTCCAATGTTTTATGCACATTGCATTTCAAAGCCTTCGAATGCGAGATAACAAGATAAACCTCAAAAATTGCCTCTCGTGCAGGTAAAATGCAACTTTTTGAAGGTAAATAAGCTCAACACAAACCCACCCAAAGCAACTTTTTACTGTAAATTACAGTGTTTTTTGCACCTTCGAACCTGCCTCAAGACACCCCAAAAGTCTGCAAATCAAAACCTCGAACTTTCACCCCCCCCCCCCCCGGAACTACCTCCCGGCCAACAACTCAAAGCGATATTCATCGCTTTCCGTCATCAGCTTGGCCCCCCCCCCCCCCCCCCCCCCCCTCCCTTTCGGTAATACTTCCAAGCGCTACAGCGCTTTCCGTCATCATGAACACGTCGCCAATGGGGAGATTCAGTGCGTGGACAAAAATTAAAAGCTTCAAACCATTTTTAGAGCCACCATGAAGGGTGGCCCGGCCATAGCCGGGTAGCCTGCCCTGTCTGGCCGTTCTTCGTTCGTTAGATGATCAGAGGCCGTTCTCCTTCCATTCGATCGTTCGCACCATCCAACGCCAAACGTCTCCATGAAAGGTCAAACGATCCACCAGCTGGCATTTTTTGTGTAGCAAACTATTTCTGAACTTCTCCTACAACACTAACACAGGCGAGGGGATCACATGGCCTGTGGCAAACCTCGTTGGAGAGCAATCCCCTCACCTTCATCATTCACGAGCCTCCGCCAATTCAAGCGCTGATGCCGGCCATGAGCCTGGCCAGGAAGTACCTCAGCACCATGAAATGAAACAGAATGGGATGGGCAGCTTTTGGCCCTCTAACCGCCAACCTGTTTGGAGAGCGGGTTGGCGGCGGAAGCTGCTTAACTTGGCAACGCGGCTGCTGACTCAGCTCGCTCTTTGCAGCCACACGAGGCTGGTAAGGAAACTGAGAGGCCTTCCAGGATCGTTGGCGCAGTGCTTTTTGATGATAATTATGCGCTTCTTTTCTTTGTACTTTATGTATTGTGTACGTGGAAATCCTTTTGATGGAGGTTCGCATGGTTGGTGGCTTGCCACCAAACCCTAACCCTCACATGGTGGATCGCTTTGGATAGCTGCTGGCTTTGTGCAACCCCACCCACCCATGCCTGCCTGGCTAGAGGGTTAGACCCATCCTCATCCTCCTTACTCATTCTCGTGCATTTGGCTCCTCACCCAGGCGCTGCGTATGGGTTCCTTCTTGACTTGCCTGGGCCTGTATATATATATATATATAGTTGATATGTTGATATATATATATATGGCCTTTGTGGCACGCAGTGCTTCTTTAAGTTACAACCTTTTTGCTCATTGATATTGGGAGCGCGGTCTTGTTATGCAAATGTTCTTTTTCCTTCTTAGCTCTTGGGAAAGAATGAAGCCCGGCTTTTCTGGCAGCTGCTTGGCTTATGGCGCGGAGGGTGGGGCGAAGAAAGGCTGGCTCTTAACGCCGATATTTTTGCAGCGTTCTGGCTTGACCCGCCGCAGGGTAAAACAAGAAGTCATGCTCCCGCAAGGCGTGGTGCCAAGTACCCATCAATTTTGTGCACGGGCTCGCACGAAAACAGTCAGAAATTTATCCTTCCAAGGGCCTCCGCTCTCACCCAGCTTGTCGCCCAAGAAGCGCGGTTTGTTCAGTGATGGTGACCAGGACCTATCACCTCCATCAAGCACGATTATTCATTATATATATATATACACATACTTATTTTATATCTATAGCTCGAGCTAAAGTTATTTGACTGGCATTTGACTTCCAGGACCCTTCTGCAAAGCAGGTTCGGATGTGCAATCCCGAATTCCTTGAAGCGTGCCTCCCACAGTTTGCAGCGACATGATCGGATACTTTTTGGCCCACACATCCACACATATTTCGCAATGCGATGTGCAAAAGGTTCCGGAAGTTCGAGTCCGGGAAAGGCTTTATTGATATAGCAGCGTTCCTCCGGCTTTGTTGCCTTGTCTCAGTATACTGATTCTTTTTCACACTAGTGGCCAGGCTGGCAAGTGCTTTGGAGTTCGTAAAGCTCGGCATCGAGGTGCAAAGAACTTGGACATGCAGCACGTGGGGCCATTGCTCCAAGATGTAGTTTGTGAGTTCGACACTTTCCTTAGGCAGGGACGCAGCACAGCCTCTTGCACAGACCTTTCCAGGCCATGCATCGTTTTTGTCCTCATGTTGCACTTGTGCTGCGTGTGCTCGCGCCGGATTTTTTCATTTTCTTCTTTGCTTGTTAATCCTTCTCTATTGTTGGTCTAGTTACAGTTCTGCTGTCGTTCATTTCCAACGTGCAATATTCTCTTGCAGCCACTGTATTGCTCATCTGCCCCACGAGAAGTGTTCCCGCTGCCTGTTCCCGGATGCCTAGTAGCCCGAAGTAGATGGTCTCCGGTTTTGTGGGGTTGGAGAGGGTTGACGATGTCTTGCCTATCAGAAGCCAACATGAGCTCACCAACTGTCACAAACAACCTTTTCCTCAAACAACTTTGCATCGAAGCCTGAAGTGAGAGCACTTTGGGTGGACGACAGGTAGCAACAAGTGTGAGCGGAGCAGTGCTGCCAGGGTGAGGAGGAATTCAATGGACATGAGGGCTGATAGGGATGGGTGAGGAGGGAAGAGAATCGGGATGGAATGAGGATGAGAACGGACATAAAATGAGCATCAGCAAGGGGATTAGTGTGACTTTGAGCATGCGGGATGCTTTCCTCCATTTCTCTCCACCCCTGAACCCTTCTCCAAAACATTGTCCAGCCAATGCTTTGACACGACAACGAACAAGGCCTGAAAGGTTGCTTTGAATCTGGCCAAGGTGTGGGTTTTCGGGTGCATGCCAATAATATATATATATATAATGCTTGCTTATGTGCTAATTGACATTAGGATTTTGTTTCTCGATATGTCACAGGTAAATTCCGGCAGTGTAGCCATGGCCATTGCACAGACGATTCTCAAATTACTCTGGCAAGAGACCCCAAACAGTGTTGAGTAGAAGAAAACAAGGGTGAATAAGCCAACTTCCGCCCAACTTCAGCACAGATATGAAAGGACACATATGAGAGCGCACACACACACACACATGAGAGCACATAGATGAGAGCACGCATATGTGTGTGCAAACGCATGAGAGCACACATATGTGATCATATGTGTGAGTGCAAACGCATGAGAGCACACATATGAGAGCACGGGCATGAGTGAACACACACACATGAGAGCACATACTGTAATAACAGCATACATATGAGAGCACACAGGTGAGAGCGCACATGTGAGAGGTTTCACCAGAGCACACATATGAGAGGTTCACGGATTGCTGCCCCTGCCGAAATCTGCACTTCCGGGTTCACAAAGTGCTGCGACAAAGTGCTGCGCCTGCCACAAAATTGATCAAAATTTGCACTTCGAGGCTCACAAGGACGTGCGGCGGTTGCCACGCAATCTGCGCAGGTTCACAAAGTGCTGCGCCTGCCACATAAAAGGTACTTCCAGGAGCCTGCGGCAGCCTGCGGGTTAAGGCTCTACGAAACCCACTAAGTGCTGTGCCTCAGTGCCTGCCACGAAATCTGCACATCAAGCTTCACATCGCGCAGGCCTGTCACCCCGTTACAGAAGCACTTCCAAAGACAACATCTGAATGGCAATGGCAGCGGCAAAAGGCAGCTTTCGCGCGATACTTCCCCAAATGTCGAAAACAAAACACATGTCCAAAGTTCACGACTCACTGCACCTGCCACGAAATCAGAGCATGCCAGAGACCACCGCCAAGTCCAAAGATTTGCCACGAAATCTGCGCATCGAAGCAAAAAAACGGCTCTGACATCCTGCACTTGCTACGAAAAGTTGGCTTGAGACCACCAAAGCACAAGGTCGCCCCCTTGCACTTGCCACGAAAAATGACCACCAAGCCCGAACAGTGCGCGGCGCATCACGGCACCACAACGAGAGCGCAGTCCAGGAATTCCCCTGCTCCAGACCAGCGGTTTGTGCAAGCCAGCGCAGACGAAAGGCACTTCGAAGATCTCGAGGGGCATGACTGCAGCGTAACTAGCGAATGTGCTGGGCACGATGAACACCCTTGATCAAAACCAGCCTTAACATGCCTTAACACCTTCCGCAAGAACCCCTAGTGTGACCAAAGATCCCCACATGTGCCTGCAGGTGACAAATCTTAGGGCTCAGATGGTTGATGGATGATATAGATGATCATAAAGTTCTTCGCTTGTCATTGTTGGTGGAGGCAGACAGCGGCCCAACAAATGCCCAACATTTCATCATGCGCAAATCATGGCAAGTTCCAATAGAGATTGGTCCGCTGACTATGCGCCTATGCTTGGGTGAGCTATGCCATGCTCAGTCAATCAGCTGTTCCTTTTGGAGAACACTTCATCTCAACCACTGTACTAGTTGTTAGGTGTGATGCTCGCAAACTCTTCTTTAAGTGAGGTTCCAACTTGATGCCCAATGCAGTGAGGCCTCCACCTGCTGCTGGCTGCTTGCTCGGTTCGGCAGCCACAACAGGTTAGCTTTGCAAGAATGGTGCGAGCTTATGGACTACTTGAGTCTTGGCTGCTTGAGTCTTCCTTGGTCTCTATCGAGCGTATGGTAAGCCCCCAGAACATGAAATCCCTTCCACCTGTTAAAAAGAACCCCCCCCCCAAATAACAAAAACTCGGGTGCATGTTTCAAAACAGGGGGTCGCTGAAATCGGGGTGGCCCAAAATAGGGTCAGCAGGAGTATCCTTTTGAATATTCATTCATGACTCGTCATGACATGTCATGACCGATTTTTGTCCTTTTTTGCTTGTAGGCTCGAGAGGTAGGTGAATTCGTTTGTAGGTAGAGATGGAAGGGGGAGCTTGCTCCCCGAATGCTGAAGAGTTGGCCAGGATTTTTTTTCCTTGAGGAGTTGGGCCTGGTCGGCGCGAGGAATCGATCCTTGCCCAGGGATAGGACCTTTGTCTTTCCTGAGGGGTGCTTCTATGAGAAGCGGTATGGTTTGTCGCGGCTGACGTATGCCGAAGCTGTGGCAGGAAGTGCAAGCGTGCTGGCAGCGCTGGAAGGATATAGCGGCAGGCTCATCCTGTCAGGGTGGGAGAGATTCTGGTCAGAGCATATGGCATAGCGAGCGGGCTACACTGTCAAGCGGGCTAGCGGCGCTAGGTGTCGAGAAGTCGGATCGAGACTTTCTGGGGCACTGGTGCCCCGAAGGCTCAGATGTGTACGTGAGAACGTACAACTCCATCGTGAAGAAGATGCAGAGAAAGTTTGCCGCAACATTGCAGGGCGAGTCAGTTCCGGAGGACATGGCCGAGACCGTGGCGGACGCCTGGAAAGAGAAGATTGGTGTGAAGGGGCTGCCGCGGCCTGTGGTCCAAGTTTCGGAGGACGTCGCAACAATCTACAGTGGCGCGCCTAGTGAGGGTGATGCAGAAGAAACTGGACAACATGAGAAGAAGAAGAAGAAGAAGAAGAAGAAGAAGAGGCGGGTTGTCCAGGGCTTGGATGAGGAGCGAGAGGGCAACTACGTTGTTGTGTACAGGCGTGCAGGGAGGGGTTCCTCGCGCAGGTTGGCCCAAAGAAGCGGATACAGTATTATTCGTGAGGTCAGAGATCCACGATAATCTGCCGCAGCCAGAAGAGCACACGCTCCGGCGCAAGCTGTGTTGGAGCGGAGTGAATCCACAAGCGATTCGCGTGAGGACCTTAGCATGAGCGACTAAAACGGTTGCAGTGAGCGTGGGTTGATCCGGCAGCATTGCATCGCATGCAGACGGTATAGCCCTGGGCTCCAAATCGGTACAAAAAAGGCCTTAAATTTAACACCTTTTTTGTACCGATTTGGAGCGGGCATTTCTTGCATCATGGCCTTGCGCCTGTCCAGCATGGGGCTGCAAAACCCGGTCAAATCAAAGGGCTGCAGAAGTCGATGCAGAGTATGACACGCAGCAATGGTCTAGGCCGGTAGCTGCTGGGGAGTGGTCTGCAATGCGTGCGGCGCTTGAGAAGAGGTATGGCCAAATAGAGGACAAGATCTACCCGGCCAAGGGGTTTGTAGACAAAAAGCTCGCTGAAGTTGAAGCCGGCGAGCACAGGTTGTTGTGTCCAAAGACGAAGTTGAACCTGATACAGTGATCCCCATTTGGGACTAACGGAGGCTAGCTATGAGAAGGGGGTCCACAAAGGTCCAAGAACCCACCAATGCTGAAGAACTCCGTCATCGACTCAGGGTCTGGAAGAATGCAATGGTGACGATATCCCTGAAACACTCAAAGCGGCATGAGCTTCAGGGAGCGTGGGAGGAAACCGTTGAGCTGAGCGGTATACAAGGACTACTTATTGGGAGAGTATGTGTATGGGCTCACCCATTTGCCAGCCCCCAAGGAAGCTAGTCACCTATGAGAAGGCGATCAGGAAACAGGCAGTGAAGATTACAAACGCAGAGGCGAAACCCCCTTACAGTGGCATTGGAGACTGCGTGGAAAGATGTCCTTGTCACCATGGAGAGAGCAGCCGCCAAACAAATGGAGGGCGACTAGGAGCAAGGACGCTACTAGGGGCTCCTGGCATCGCGACTAGGAGCAAGGACGCTACTAGGGGCTCCTGGCATCGCGACTATTCGAAAAGGGTGACAAAGGACAGGGTAAGGGCAAAGGCAAGAAGGGCAAGGACAAGACTGTGGGCCATTGTGCAACCCACAGAACCGCAAGGAGGCGCCTCCTGACACAGCAGGAACAAAATGAAGGACCTTGAAGGTCCTTATATGTTTTCTCATAAAAAGAGACGCAATTCCATTGCTTCCTGAGGAGGTTAGCGCCACGGTCTGGTGTCCATGTCGGGATCACCGAATTGGACATTCAAGCTGACAGGAAAGCAGATTTTAAAATTCCAGCTGTGCAGAAGAGGTGGCTGCAGGCAATTGCCCAAGGCATGTTCTTTGCAGCAGTCGTTGTTACACCACCTTGTTCGACCTTTTCTCGGGCTGTGTGAGCGAATGATAGTGGGCCCTACCCTTTGAGGAGCTCTACATACCCGAAAGGTTTTCCTTGGAACAAGGGTGAAATGTTTCACAAGGCAGAATTCGGAACAGTGCCGGCAGATTTTTCATTTAAGCATTGAAGCGCCAGTTCAAGCAGCGGCGCCATGAGCAGCCAGAGGATTTAGGCAGGAGCAATGACAGAGTCCCAGGACATAATCCTGCATCTATGTGGCAGTTTGTTAAATTTGAGGAGTTGCTGGCATTGGAGGATGTACAAACAGTAGTTCTTGCACAGCAGGACTTTGCTACGCCAACCCCGAAGCCGACACGGTTCCTGCTACCTCTGCGTCCAGCAAAGGTGCCAGGCAGACCTCAATTTGATGAAGATGGATGGTATATCGGTCCATTGCCCAAACGGTCGGGGAGCGCCTCCCTGATGCAAATGGACCGCGCAGGCAATTCCCACCTCCTTTCTTCAAGAGTGGAATGGGGGGATGAGAATTTTGGCACTGATGGCATTGACAAAGAAGGGGAAGTTAAAGCAGGGGCTCAAGAAAAGGAAGGCAGCGCATGAACCAGAGGCCCAGTCCAAAGCTTCGAGGACGCAGGAGAGGGCGCAGAAAGAGGAGGTAGATCTGATGAATCCCCCTCCTGCAGGAGATGGGCACCCCCGTGCATGCAGATGGATGGGGCTGGAAGCGCCGTTCCATGATGGAGGAGGATTGGCTTCACCGGGGAGGCGGCGGCAACGGTCAAGAAAGACACCAAAGGGAGCAAGGACAGCGGCCGCAGCGGCTGCCACAAACTCACACAGCACCCTCACAACAACGGCGCGTGCCAACCACACCCACAAACTGCGCGAGACCGCGATGGATTACATCCAATCGAAGCAGCCCGGTTCAGTGCAGCGCAGCGCGAGCAACACTCCACCGCATCCGTCGCCTGCCGCACGGATGGCGCAAGAAAGCATACTTCGCAGCACCGCCTACCACCGGCAAAAGCCTGCTCCAAGCTTCGCACAGACTGCTACAACGCCCTCGGCACACCTTTCACATGTGACCGCGTGCTGGCACGCATGTTTGTAGGACATAACACAGGCATTGCATTCGTGGCTGGCTACAACCTAGCCAGCACTTACCACACTCATTTCCCACCTACCACTGCATCGCAGATCACATCCCTTGGACACAACCTAGCCCAATGGTACACTAACCAGGCTGGGAACCCGACACTAGCGCGGCCTGCGCTTGGAGACATGACCTCACACCTCACCACCCGAGGTCCACCACACAGGCTCCGTCGATGCCACCGAAGCACAACCACCGCCTTACAATGAGGCGGGTGCAGCAGCGCGCAAGGCTGCGCAACCCAGCACGCACCAGTTCAGCATCATTATGACTGGCGGGGTCATCAGCAAAGCGCATCACGCCATCATGACCTCGAAAAGTCCACCCACTGACATTGCTAAGCAATGTGACGATTGCCCCGAAGTGGGCGCTTGGACACACGCATGTTGGCATTGCGCGGGCAATCCGCCCCCCCATCCAAATCCCTTTCCGACCGACCCAAGCGCGACTCGGTTGGCCCAGGGCTCACGAGAATTCACAGAATTCACAACCCACTAAAATACGACAGACAGGTACTTTCACATATGGTCTGGTTTCTGAGGTTGAAAAGTGGCCTTCCGGATGGCAAGAGGAGGAGATGGCTTCACACTTGTCCGGGATGCTGGCTTCTTGGAGAGGCTCAGGCTGGTGCTGGCGGGTTGGGCATTTCGGGTGGAAAGGGAGCCGGGGAAGGGACAGCCGTTCTTTCTTGGGTTGATGAAGGATCCGAATCTAGATGCGGTGTTCCTGGAGCAGGAAGACGGGGCTTCCTTTGGGGGTGTTGAGCGGCCTCCCCAGGACGCCGGCCATATTTGAGGAGCAGACTGAGCAGACACAGTGGAGCCTTGAAGGAAGAGCAGCTACATGTCGGCAGAGGAGGACAGAAGCTCTTCGGTTGCAGTGTTGGTGGAGGACGAGATGACGGGGCAGAAGGGGGTGATCCATGATGGGACACACGGAGTGATGGTCAACCGCCGTATCCGATGCAGGGACAAGGTGGGGATGCCCGGTCCCTGTAGAAGAGAGCGCTCCTGGAGGAGTGTGAGGGAGAGTTGGTGCTTGTTGGGGGCTTTGCAAAGGCACACAGGCGGTTCAAGTAGCTGGGAGAAGAGGGTTCCTGGCTTGCAACCTGACACGGTGTATGTACCAAGTGCCCAGTCACCCTGCTCGTGACCGAGATTGTGGAGACGTTGAGACGGCTTAATTCGCGACCTTGACATGGATTCATCAGGCAAGATGGCAATGAGTTGGCAGATGCGTTGACCAATGAGGACGACCAGAATTTGCGAGAACCACTCACGGAGGAATCTCTGGAGTGGTATGTGATGAAAGAGTTACTTGTTGATAGTGAGGCGCTCTGCAATGAGATCAAGGGCAACAAACTGAAGAAGACGGAGGACAAGAGAAGAGACCTTTGTTCTTTGAGCGTTGGAAGTCCTAACTGGAGTTGGGACATCCCAGTGCACTGGGCGGCAGGGAGGCATTCCAACGCGTGTTCAAAAGATTCGGTTTGCGGCGATGTTTGTTGTTTGGGTTTCTTGTGACAAGTAACTGGGCAATTATATAGAACCCTTTATTAAACTCGTATCAACATTGAAAAAACCTCCAGATCGAAGGGGTTTCCTTTTCCCTTGAGAACAACCTTTATTAAAATAATGATTCTTCATTAGGCTAACAACTGAAGCTTTCGAAAGGTGATGTCGCTGTGCCATGCCGTTTTTTGCGCGGCCTCGGTGGCAAGTGCGTTTGCGTGAGTCCGTGCCATTGGGGGAAGGAAAGCCTGCTGGTGTAAACGCGGCGTGTCATGGTGGACAAACAGGGTGGACAGAAGTGGGCAGTCAGGGTTGTTTTTTGGAACTTAATTCGAAAGCGGCACAAAAATCGACCATGTTGGTAGTTTAGCAGCGGCTTCAAAGGGCGGTAATTTAATATAAGCCGGGTTTTGGGTTCAGACATTGAGTTTCTTAATTGGGGAGGGTTTTTTAATAGGTATATACTCGGTATTATAGCTAAGGCAATCCAAGCACCAGTCCTTTGGTCTTCTGGTGCCTGCTGCTTTGACGTGGTTGTTCTGGGACCAAATGAAAACAAGAGCGGACTCCAATTCGAAACAGGTGGACCATCAGTAAATCTTCAGGATACATGGTAGCTATATTTGGACACTGGTTCAGGCATTGGGGGATGGCAAGAACATGGACCTTTCTGAATTCCAGAGATGCGGAGCGAAGGGATGTTGTTTTGAATAAATGCGGGGGTCAACAGAGGCACCTCCCAGCTGTACAATGTACATATATATATATATGTATAGGGTGGCGTTGTATCATTGATCTGCCAGGAGGGTTACAAATCACATCAAAACACCATGAAACAGAAGAGGCATAGGTCACCATGACACATCACCGCGAAACCACCACAAAGGATCGGCAACGTGCCACAGATTGCCAGAAAAAATACTGTAGAAGATATGTTTCAGAGCAAGTGAGGAGATGAACATCAAGCACACAAACCAGACGCCCGTGAAGTTCCACGAATCAACACAGCTTCCCACGGGCCAGCCACGCATCACCAGAAATGACGACAGCAAACATCAGAAATCCACAGATAGCCAAACCCGCGTGAGATTTGCTGATAGTCATTCCATCCAAGCATACATTTAATCACTGAAGATCAGCACAAAATTTCATTTAATCTGCCCGATTGAAATCAGAACACCTCGCTTTGTTTCCACTATGAATTTGGAGGCAGCACCCTCACCCTCCACCTCCAGCAAAACGGAAGAAACATGCTGACTGAACACTTTGAGGTTACTTTTCCTGTTCAAGTTCACACAGCAACTTCAATGTGTTTTTTCTTTCAAGATTGGATTCCACTCTTGTAAATGCTGCTGTAAATGCCGGACCAACTCTGCAAAAGGGGAGCCAGGCGGCTGGATCCCAGCCTGGCCAAATTTCAAGTCCATAAAGACTAAAGACTGATCAACCCTTGCATTTAAATGCATGTAAATTTTACATTGTAAAATATAGCTTGCACACAAACGATCTTTCTCGCAAACATTTGCAAATAACAACAGTATCAATATATATATCCTGTTTTGTTTTTCCTATGTTTGATCCATCCTTTCCTCACCAGTCGGTGTAGCAGTTGCACCTGCTCGTGGCAAAACCAAGGTCAAACTTGAAGACAATTTTTCTTGAGGCCTTGGAAATTAGCACGGCTCCAGTTTCTCAAGTGCTTGTTCAATCAAGTCGTCATGTGAAGTATTCGGATGCTGGAGGTCGACAGTAACAGAAGTGGCGCAGTCGAGCCAAGACCACAGCTTTAAGCGGAGCAGTGCCAAGATAGTCGACAACCCTGCAGTGATGATGTTGATCCTGTTGTCACGACAGAAGAAAGCACAAGAGCTTCCGGCTATTTTTGCTTAGGTTTGCTGAACTTCACCATGCGTTTCAATTGTTTGGGGTGAACCTTGACCCTGCCATGATAGCGGAGGCTTTGCAATACTGCCTTGTTTCAAGAAGCCCTTGGCTGTGAGCTGGATTCATCTTCCTTGCTTTGCAAATTGAAGAAATCCGTGGCAAGTCAGCGCCCTTTTAGCATCGAGATGCCCAAAGGATTCAGAGCTCATTGGTTGAAATCACGTGTGAGTATGTCAACAACAGACATAGGCAAGACTATGCTTTGTCCAGGTGGGCGGCAGCTACGACACGGACAAGGATGGAACTCTGGAGTTTGATGAGTTCGTACAGATGCGACTTGAATGGGATGCTTGGCTGCAACATCCGGAAAAACAGTAAACAGTGTGGCAAGCATTGGAGCAGGGGCCCAGCAGGGGCCCACACGTTCCCGCACAGCAGAATATGCGCTCCAGCACCAATAACATATGTTTCAGCTCAAAATGACCTCAGTATGGACAGGTTGCTCCGCACAGTCTTGGCCGAGTAGGGTCGCTGTATGGCTGTCGCCAATGAACCTCCCTACAGTTGATCAGGATATGATAGGATATAGAAGTGAGATGTAGCTGCTGGTAGTGGCAAGCGGTTCCATAGGTCGCCTGGGTGTTTTATTGCGTTTTGCATCTTTTTTTGCTGATATTTGCAGTATTTTTGTGGTTTACCCGCAGAGAGACTGGGGAGAGCGATGCACACAACACTTGAGTGTAGGAGTTGGTTGCGTTGGTGTCAGATGAGCAAGCCGAACCAAGGGGGGGAGGTGGGGTGGGGCGGTAGCTGCGTTCGAAAGTTGGTTGCGTTGGTGTCAGATTCCGCAGTGGCATCTAGCTTACAACCCTACAAAGTGCACAAGAGCGAGTGAGCGAAGGCGAATGAGCGGCTTTTCACGCACGCACTAATTACCTTAAAGCCTGCAGCCTTAAGCCAAGTATATTGGCATGTTCATGCCTTGTGTAAGGGCATAACACTACCAGAGCCAAGTAGAAGCAACAGCGAAACAGGGGCCCAGAAACAGAGAGTGGAGAACTCAATCCAGTGCTCAAGCGCCGAGTCTGTCAGTTTGTTTGGCGTCGCTCCTTGGGCAAGGTGAAACCTTCCAAGTTCTTGAAACGGATCGCTCACCTCACGACATGAAAAACACATTGATCCGGTGGTGGGAATGCACCAAGACGTCCCCAGGCGACCCCTGGTTGCACCCAGGCGACCTGGGGAACCGCAACCCAGTTTCAAGCCAGTTTGACATTTATATATATATATATACTGTATATGGTACCCGCCCCCCCCAAAACCTATGTTCACATCACTTTTGCTGGTATTTGCAATATTTTGTGTCTATTTTGGGTTGCCTTTTGATCCTTGTTTTTTTTGGGGGTACCATATATATATATATTTTTGTGCACGTAGGTTGCATGACTTCTTTGTCCACTTTGGAAGGAATGCAGTCAGAATGCGTTCAATGCATTCAGAATGCATTCCTGCCCAATACCAAGATCCAAGATTTGCACAGAAGTCTTGTGGAAAATCTTGGAAA